TACCTCTTGTAAGACTTCCTGATGGTTAACTGCAGGCCATGGCTGCACATGGCACTGAACAACATCTTGAATTGTAGCTGGAGGCCTGGTAATTGAGTTGCTTGTGTCCCTTCAGATGGGGAGCGTGACCAGCTGTTGTTATGTAGTCTCTCCTTCAGTCCTTCTGGGAAATCACACTGTGATTATATTTCTGGCTTAAGAAATTTTTTCCCTAATCAGACTGGGCCTCACAAAGAGGTTGCCACTTAGTGGTAATTACTTGCTTTAGAAGCTGAATGTCTCCTGAGGATTGCAAATAGCGGATTATCAAATTAATTAGTTAAACCAAGATGTGCTTTTGTGAAGCCAAGACATGCTTTGCTTGTGATCTGAAATAAAGGTTTAAATGTTATTAAACTGCATACAACCTGTTCTTGTCTCCCTAATGGGGGGAGAGAGCTGGTTCTTTCCTGAAGTGTAGCTGGTACAAAGGGCTGCTTGCACTTCTACTTGCTGCATCACTTGTTGCCTTTCTTTCACAAACCCTCTTTTGAGCAATATCTATCCCTGGTTTTAAGGCTTGTTCTGAGTGGACTTTAATGCTTCTTCTTGGAGGCTTCCTCTGATTTTGTGGCAGCACAACTGCCAGGTTGAAGGGATATAGGCTTGGAACTGGACTTCAATGATCCTTGTGGATCCCTTCTAAGTTAGGATGTTCTATTGTGGATAGGTTGGTGGGATGGTAACATACCTTTCCTTTCAGGGTACAGCTTAATCCATGGGATATCTGCATTGCCATGTCTGTGGGCATGGGAGCTGGTGGAGAACCCCAGTCTGGTGATGAGATGCCTGGAAGTGGATTCAGAGACGTCCACTTATGAATGGGTTAGCAGGAGCCATATACCCTGGAGTAGTGCTCTACCACAGCCCATTCCCAGGATCTCCATTCCCACACAAGTCTCTGGGGCCACAGGAGGTTCCCTGTGCTGTGCTGAGGACTGCACCAGTGACCACTCTAAGCTAACATGGAGCTCATGGGGGTATTTTCCTAAGAGCTCTTGGCCACAGTAATGTAATCATCCTGCTAACATCCATATTGCACAACTTCCCCTAGGTCAGGAGATGTCCTTATCTGGCATCTAAAACATCTGTCTTGTGTTGTTTCTAGCACAGCTGAATTCTATTCATAAAAGAATTGAGCATTTCCTGATTTGCACAACCGAAAATAAGCAGAACTCTGCTAAGTGTTGACCCAAAGGCAGAGGTCCTTTCCCTGCCTCCTACCTCTGTCTGTGCTCTCTCCCAGCTCTAGGTTGTGGTACTGCTTTAGGCCCTTGAGAAATACTGCAACTCCAGGAAAGGAGAAAGGAAGAGAAAAGAAAGAGATGAGAGTCTGAAATTAGAACCTCTGAAATTTTCAGAACACTTGTACTGATCCCTCTTCAACTACTTTTTCTTTCAAATCTGGGGAGGCCCCACAGACTTCAGTGTCAAACTCCTAATGTCAGCGTTTGCTGCCTTTTGCTGTAATTCACCTCTAGGACAAGCTGTGCTTAGCAATGGTCAGCTGCTGCTCAAGGTGGGTACCAAAGCAATCCCTTTGGAGTAAAATTGCCCCTCAGTCCATGCAAAGCAGCTGGATCTGCTGGATGTGAAGCTGGGGCACTCAGATCCCTGCCAGCATGGATGACAGCAGCCTTTTGCAGTGACTGCAGCAATTGAAGCAGCCCTGAGGAAGGCGTGAGGAGCTGCTCCTGCCAGGAGACAGAGTGAGACTGTGCTGGGAACAAGCCTGGCATTGTTGGCAGCCTCCTTCAAGAGGGGCTTTTTAACACCCACTGAAGTGCTGGCTACAGCTGTCTCCCATGTGCTTGAGCGGGAAATGGGTCTACAAGGCAGCAGAGGGAAAGGCCACTTTGCAATTAAAAAAAAAAAAGGAAACTATATTAGGAACCAGCCATGAGTGCACAGCAGTGAGATGTTCCCCTCAGCACCCAGCCATGGCAGCGGAAATCACGTCACTGCCTTGGCTGGGGTGGGGTGAGCTGCACTCAGGTTCCTCAGCCTGGAAATCCATATGGGGGAAGGTGCTCCTGAGCTTTAAGTGCGGTGTAGGAAAGGGAGGAGGTGTGAGATTGGGCTCTAAGCTGCTCTTGTGTTTGGCAGCCTCTATAAATGGCACCTGCCAACTTCCCTGCATCCTTCTGAGTGGTGTTGACTTGAGAGCTGGTGGAGAACTTTCTTTTGTCATGGGAAATGGGGTAGGAACAAGGCTCTGAGTACCTCTGTGTTGCTTTCCTTCTCTGTTTATGGGGATGCTGCAAGCTCCTATACCACTTTTGTCTTTCTATGAGAAAATTATCACTTTTCTCTTTCTGGCCATCAGAGAGCTGAAATTAGGTGGCTTAACAGTATCTTAGCAAGTAATTCAGAACTAAAGGAGATGACAACCTTGTGCTTCCAGCCCTGTGCAAGCCACCTGAAGGAGACAGGAAAGCCAAAAGCTGCTCCTCACCCTGGATCTGCTGCCAAAGGTCTGAGTGTAGGAGACCTGACCAGTTCAGTAACAGCATGGGAACAGGTTCTCTGCTCCACCCCCTTCATCCCCATGGGCTGTGGGGATGTCCCATGGCTCTGCATTGCCCTTTGTGCTGCTTGGGGAGCACGTCTCTCTTTCAAAGCTGAGGTAGCTCCTGGCTTGTAGTAGCCCCCCTGAAGGAGCAGGAGCTTTGGCCTGCAACTGGAATAGCCCTGAAGTTCCCAGGCTTGTTACCCAGGCTGCTGATTACCAGACTTTTTTGAGACTCCAGGTCTCTATTTGGAGACTTGTTCCTCTGCAGAACCCAGGGTAATTGCAGTGACCTGTTTGCTGGATAAAAGTAGTTGTGTGCAAGGCTGGTGCAATCACACATGGTATAATTTTTGGAGTTGTCCTGTGCAGAACAATGAATAGCATCTGATCCTTGTGGGTCCCTCCCAGCTCAGGATTTCTCTATGATTCTGCAATTTGTGCTGCCCTGGGCAGCCATGGCCTCCTGAAAGGAAACACACATGTAATGCTGCAGTTGTAGAAACAGTACATAAAACTGTTCCTACAGTTTTCCATAAAACACCTGGCTGTGAGAGGCATGTTGGATCTCTTCTACCTCCTTTTATTCCATGATGGGGATATGCCTCCAACAGAAAGAGCCTGGTACTTCTGACAGCACAGGGCTTGTCATGTGCACGCTGCAGAGACATCACTCCTGGTGCTCCCTCCTCTCTGGGAGTGGGCCAGTCCCTGGGGAGATTCCAGCAAGCACCTGCAAGAGGATATTGCAAAGGTCAGCCAAATGCAGCCAGGCTCACTGCGTGGGAGAGGTGCTGGAGGAACAGATGAAGGACAAAGCTACTCTGCAAAAGCAGCCTTGTACAGACCCTGAAGCTGTGGTCAGAGGCTCTGCTGGGGAGGTATGCCAGGCTCCTCATCCTCCTGATAGGGGTATGAGGGGGAAAGAGGTTCTCTTGCATGCACAGACAAGATCTAAGATCTCAAATTAGTTGTTGCAGATGACAACAATCAGGTTGTGCCTGTGCTGGGTTGTTAATACTCGAGGTGGCAGGGATGCTCTCCTTCAGCCAGTTTGGCATTAGCAACTGCTGTCACCTGACATGAGCACTGCCTACAGATGCAGTACTGCTGTGGGGTGAAGGTGACAGGCTGTTCCATGGGGGAGCCTCTGAAAGCCTGGGCTTTTTGAGAGCCAAGTGCTGAACAGTGAGGCAGCTGCTCAGCTCTGGTCACTGTCAGTGTCACAGCCCCTTTTAGCAGGACATCTCTTTGGCTTAAGGGAATGCAGGAGCACAGCAGGCAGCTGGTGGATTGAATGGCTGGCTTTGGTTGGCTGCTCAAACTCCCCATTGCTGGTTGGGTCTGGAAACATGAGATGAGGTCATCATAGGCAAAGAGGTTTTAGGGCAAACTGTTGTCAGTTCTCCCTGGGAGAGCAGTATCTGAAGGTGGTCTTGAGTTGCTGGCCCTGTGGAGCAGGGTTTGGGAAGGCTGTGGGACTCTGCCCCTTGAGCCAAGGCAGCAGAGGCATTGGCAGCAGTTGCTCCATCTGCAGCAGGCTGACCTGTGCTGTTCTGCTTGTCCATGCAGGAGAAGGAGATGTCTTCCCTTCTGCTGTGGGTCTCACATCCTGCCTGAGTCACTCTGTCTCTCGGGGAAGGATTAGTTTATGTGACCTCTCCATAAGTGGGGACAACCAAGTTCCAGCACTGTGAACTGCTTGATGGAGGGTCAGAAACCCTGCACTGCTCAGGCTGGGGAGGCAGTTTCTGGTCCCAGGCCCTGCATGTCGTGCCCAGGTTTTGCCTGTGTGTCACTTCCCGCCCTGCTTCCCGTTACACAAAGCCTTTGTGTGTCAGCAGATCCTGGGATGCCCCGCGGCACCTGCCTCTCTCCTCTCTCTCCGCCTCTGTGGCTCTGCCCTTTCCCGTTGTCACTTCTGGAGGCTGCAGCCTGTCTGTTTGGTGACCTTCCCCACTGCTCGGGCAGTATTTTGGCCCCTGGCCATCTTAAACAATTAATGGAGGGGTGGAGAAACTTGCCGTGTTAAATTACTTACCCCTTTGGGAGGGGGTGAGGTCTCTACATCTCTTGCCTGATCCCAATGCAGTTTGTTGCTGTTGCCTGAAGCGGTCACTGCTCTCTGTTTTCCTTCTAGAAGTTAGAACAACAATATTTCAGAGCACTCTCCCTGCATTTCTCGGCATTTTACTTAACCTGCGGCGGCGCCTCAACATCTCGTGGAGTGGCGAAACTTCCCCGGACTTAGAGAAAAACAAGCCGAGAGGAGGCAAGGGGGGAGGATTTTGCTGGAAACCTCTTTGGGAAGCTGGAGACCTTCTCGGGATGCCTGCCTCACTCTCCTCCAGCCGCTATTCAGATGTTCCCGGGCCAGGGCAGCTCCCTGCCCCGGCGTGTCCGCATTGAGCGGCTCCGAGGGGCGCGGAGAGCCGCGGTGCCGTGAGGGCAGCCCGGGAGCGCCTCAGGCTCTGCCCGTGTCCCAAAGGTCCCGCAGGGCCGGGGGACGCCGCACCTCGCTCTCGCTATGCCCCTGAGCCGTCCCGCGCTGGAGTTGGCTGTCAGAGAAACCTTGGAGGTCCCCTGCTCGGCCCCGGTAGTGTCATGAGTTAGATTAGTTGGAGCTGTGCTGGGGGCGGTGAGGGCTTGGATTACAGTCCAGAACTCAAAGTGCTTCGGTGGTTCACGTCGGAGGGGAGAGGAGACGCCCCGTCGCACACATGGAGGAAAAAGAGAAAAAACGCTGCCTTTGGAAGTGAGGGGGAAGAAAGGAGGCCGGGAACATGGTAAGGAAATCTCTGCGGAGGGCTCTTGCCCCGGGCACTGTGCGGGACGGAGCTGCTGTCGGGACAGCCCGCCCGGAGCCAGCGCACGGCGCTCATGCCGGAGTGGGAAACAGCTCCTTTGGCATTTCCCGTTACTCGAGTGGCACACTGCCCTCCTGGTGCCAGCCCGGGGCGGCGGCTGCAGGGACACAAACTCCTTGTTGGCACTGACCCTGCGAGGTGCCTGTCTATCGGGCACAGCCCTGGAGTGAGAGCCGGGATGGGTCAGTTCGGGCAGAGCCTTGTCTTTTGTGCTGCCTGGATGCTGGGCTCTCCTCCTGCCCTCCTCTGCCAATCCTGCTCTGTGGCTCTGGGCATTGCCCTCTTGCAGAGCCTTCCCCCTGCTCAGAGAACCCCTGGAGCTGGGCAGGGATGTTCCTTTTCAGTGTCAAGTTGTGCACCTGGGGATCTTTGTTTGGAGAGGGGAAAGGATGGTGAGCCCAGTGGGCAGCAGAGCACCCAGACTGCTTGGGAGTGGCTGCAGGGCTGTCCCCTGCCCAGTGACACTGGCACTGCCCTGCAAACAGAGGTGCCCAGCCCTGGGCTCTCAGTAGTTAGAGGGATTGCCCAGTGGTGACATCCCACTGAGCGCCAGTCCAGCTTCTGATGGTTTGATCCTTGGCTCAGGCTGAGATCCATGTGCCCAGATCCTGGAGGTGTCATGCTATGTTAGAGACTGCTTTTCTACTGCAGGAGGAACAAAACCTATGAGGAGAACAAGCAGCTTTCATTGCTGCTGTGCCTGGCAGTGACTTGCCCTTTAAAAGTTCAGCTTCTGAGCCTGCAGAAAGTTGGCTTTCATTGAGGGATGAGTTGAATTCTGACTTCTGCAAGTTGAGCTAAGTTTATAGACCCATGTCTTTTCCCTTTACTACCCTCCTTTGCAGAGCTCCTTTGCAGACAATCCTGTGGTGCTCTTTTCCCCCACATGCCTGTCAGAGCCATGGTGTGCTCTCCTCTGCTATTCTTCTGGAGGCATCTTGCTTCTACTTCTTCATCTCAGTCAGAAGACCTCTTTCCCTCATTCCATGCCCAGTGTGTTCTTGGCAATTTTTGGTCTATGCAGGTTTTATTTATGAAGCTGAAATCAAAGGAGAGCACTGCTTGGGGTTGTGCAGGGTTGGGGCCATCCCTTGCAGTCTCATGGGCTGCATTTTGCCACATGGGCTGGAGCAGTGCTTGTGAAATTCTGCCCTTGGAGGCTGGAGGCAGAGACTGGCTGTTACTACTCTGCTCCTTCAAGCTGGAGGTGCCTTTCTGATTCCCATGTGCTTCAGCTCCCCTCCTCGATGTTGTTTAAATGTGTGATGCAAAAGCTGTCTGAAGCAGGGTGAGCCTTTGTGAGGAGCAGTGCCATGACCAGTGTGGGTGCTGGCCATTCAAGGACTGTGTATCACTGCTGAGGAGGGATCCTGTGCCACTCAGGGGCTGAGTGCAGCTGGAAGGAACAGGAACCAGAGGCCAAGCTGCACCAGACCCAGCACTGAGTGCTGGCCACACTGTGAACTCCTCTGGTCCATGGCAGGTATCTGATCTCAATGTTGTGGTAGACCAATCTACATTTTGGGAGGTGCATTTCTGTGAGCAACCAAGTTGTGAGTGTAACTCCAAGCTGCTCTGATTAACTTGATTTTTTTGTGTCCTGGTAAATCAAACAAACCCTGCAGGCAGAAGATTTGGATCTCAGTGAATGTGTGTCAGTCTGCTGGCCTGTAGGAGAACTTCCATGGCCTCCAGCAGCCTGCAGGACTCTTGGAGACTTGGCTCCTGATGGAGGTCTGGCAAGGCACCATTGCTGGCTGCCCTACTCTGTGGGACAGGTGATTCATTTTCATGGGGTTTCAGTGTTAGAGCTGATGTGTGTGTGGGTACATAAGGTTGTGGCAGCTGGGATATGCCCAGAACACCAAATGGGTGAGACAGCTTGGGCCAAAGTAGCCCCCTTCCACTAGAAGTGACTTCTGGAGCTGTGCAAACCCCATGGTGAGAGCGGTGCAGGAGTCTGGCTGGGCTCTGTCTACCTTGCTCACCCATCATGGCTTTTGTGACTTGGGATCTATCTCCATTCCCTGGATTCACCTTTCCTGGTGCTTCCTCAGAGAAGTTCTGGTGGCACCTCTATGCTGGTAGGAGAGAGGATGGGTTTCAGCAGAAAATAGGGTCTTTCTTCCTCCAGTTATGTCTTCTCCCAGGGTGGGAAGGAAATGAGTCTGGGAATCACAAAGAGCTTTAAGCACTGGGGCTCTTCTTTCTTTATTTCTGTGCCAAAACCATGAGCAAGATGTTGGAACACAGACAAAGTCCAGAGACATAATCCCGAGCACATGGAAGCAGTTTGAAAGCACCTCCTCTGGGGTAACAAGGTTGACAATTTGCATTTTGCCCAGCTTATTTTCAAAAGCTCTGGGCAAGATAACATGTTGTTCATTGTAACAATAAAAATAATGGCTGAATGCAGGTGACAGCCTGGCTGCATCCAGGTATCTCCTTGTAGAAATTGCCAAGTGTATTCTAGGGGAATACCACATGGGAATGGGAGACAGCAGATGCTTACAGTGAGACAATCCAAGGAGGACTCTATGCTGAGTGTCAGCATTATTTTCTGAAAACCAGCATCCTGTAGCACAGCCCCTTCTGGCAGTGCTGCTGGCCAGCTGTCCCCATGGGCAGTTGGCTCTGAAGGAACACCTTGCTGTAGCAGAAGAGATCATATTGTGAGAGCCTTGTCAGCATCTCGTGGCTGGTCACTTCAGACAAGATAGCCAGCATGTCTACTCTAAATTCTAGAGCACAGGCACAGTGTCAGCTCACAGAGCCTCATTTTCTAGTTGCATCTCAAATGTAACCCTGTCTGCAACCAATCTGTGTAAAATTTTAACATCCTACAGGCTGTGCACAGCCTTAACCTGAGCATTGGTGCTGAGTGTGGGTGGAAGTCACATCACAGGGGCTACAGGCTCCTTTAGCACTGTTGAAAAAATCCCTGTTGAAACAATCAAGGTGTCCTACAGAAACTATAAACTGAACCCACCTGTAGGCACTTGTACCAGAGCACTTTTTGTTCCTGTTCTTGGCTGTTTGTGCATGATGGAACCCCCTGTTCCAGTCCTGCGGAGCTCAGTGTCTGAGAAAGTGAGTAGTACCACTGGGACCAGATTTGTTGCTGACTGAAGAGCAGTAAAAAGCAAGGAGAGCTTGCCAGGGTGAAGCTGCCCACTTCTGGCCATGGGATGCTCTGTGTTTTTTGCATCACTCATAGTGCCTGGTTTGCAGCTCAGAGGAGTGAGTAGACATGCCCTTGTTGATTCTGAATGTTTGGCCATGCTTATACCTCTCTGCCACACCGAGTGCCTCACCTCTGTTGGCTGGCTTAGTCTTTCATTAAAATATTAACAAAAAATGGGGCCTTTCTTGTGGTAAGTGCTGGTTTCATATGTATCCTATTTTTTGCATCACTGGACAGCAAGCTGAAACTTCCAAGATCAAAGCAGAACAGAATGAATCTGAAAATCTTTCTGTCTGCTCAGATTTGCCATCCTGCCATCAGCCTGGGAAGCCCAGGACGAACCCTTGCTTCAGCTGGTACAACTCTGAATGGAATGAAATGGCTCAGCTGAAGGGAAGAGGTGCATGTGCTCCTCCTGGACACTGGTGGATGGGGTAAAGGGAGTCTCCATGGGGTCCCCTGCAATGGGGCACACTGCTGTGGCTGGGTTATGGTTTGCATGCTGCAGAGGAGGAAAGCTGCTGGAGTTCTGATGACCTTAGCTAGGTGTCCACCTTGAGCTTTGCAGCCTGTGTTAGGTGTGGCAGAGGCTTCCTGAGCAGGTTCCTTCGGGAGGATACCTTCCCTGAGGCTGCCTGTCAAGTCTCAGTGCCTCCCAACAAAACCCAGCATTGCTGAGCCTCCAACATGGCTAAAAGATGTGGGTTATTTGCTGTCTGTTGTCATCTTGCTGAATACATTTACCTTTTGAACAAGGTCCCTCTCATATGCTCAGGAGGCTGGTATGCAGGCCCGTTAATGGATCAAGAGGAAAAATGCCTGTGGATGTATTCTCCTTTGTGTTTGGGCTTATAACCACCCACGTTTTGGCATACATCCCTTCTGTGCACAAAGATCTTTTAGAAATTGCTAGTTAAATCTCCACCCTCCTTTGATATGTATGGAAATAATGGGACACGTGAGACTGTTTTCTGTTTGGAAAAAAAAAATCTATAAAGGGAGTAGCTTTAAAAGCCTGTGTTCACCCTTTTCTAACTCATGAGTTTAATGAAAGAAATGCCCTGAATTTCTGACTGATTTACTTAGCTTTCTGGGAGGCATGCATTTAGTGCTGTATCCAAATACAGGGGAAATGTTTTCATCTGAATCTGTCCCACGTTTGCTGCTTAGGGGCAGGAGGAGAGCTTGAGCACACGTGTCTGTTCTCCAGTGACCTTAGAGAGTCTTGGAACAAATCTTGGTCCCCCTGACCAGGAACAGTTCTCCCTTCCTCAGCACAGACTGATGCTTCTTGGAGTGGCCCATGGCTGAGCTGGCATAACCATGGACACCTCTGAGCTGCCTGCTCTGTCCTTCTGGCTCATCCTTCCTCACAGCCTCTTCCTAAGAGGCATCTGATGACTGCTGCTGGGTGCTTTCTCCTATCAATGGTGTGCAGGGATGTGCTCCCCCAAGGTCTACACTTACTGTGTTCTCATGTGCTCAGCCATCCCCTCCTGGAACTGCAGCTCTGCTTCAGAGCAGTTTCTGTCCCCCTCTGACATAGCAGGACTCGTATTTCATGAGCACATGGTAACACAGTGTGTTAAGGCCAAAAGGAACTATGGCTCATCTGTTATGGGATACTGGGACTGTAGAGTGTCACCTAGCTTCCATATGGAGTCTGGGAGCTCTTTAACTGAAAGAGGATAATTTTTCTGTGGCATCCACCCTCAGTTATGGAGGTTGCAAGACA